ATGGGAGGGGTGCACACGCAGTCTCAGGTGGACTGTGGTGCTGTTGCCCAAGTCCATGGCAGCAGCAAGACACGATGCGTGTGGGGGATGAAGCCAGTGGAGGTTCTGCATCTTAGGCACCACGCTGTGCGGCAAACAGATTTCTGTTCGCACAAGTGGGTACAAGGGGGAAGAACTCTGCAGATTAGCATGGAGGCTGGTGCAGTTGCCTTTTGGGATTCCTGTGCAATGCAAATGGCACTGCAGAGAACCTGCTTTCTCAGGGACTGGCAGTTGTGGTGCAGGGGTGGGCAAATAGAGTTGCTACATCAAGAGTGGTGCTCCGGTAGTGTGCGATTGATTCGTACACAATTGTAGAAACGGAAAAGGGATGCCCAGACAGCCCCACGACGATGAAGGCCAGCAGTGTCAAACTTTGCAGTGCATAATGAGATGCTCATTGCGAACCCTGCACACAGCAACTGCCCTAACTGGTGGAGGGTGCACCTGATCCTAAGAGGGGGAAGGTGGTGGCAGATGCCCTTGCAGTGTTGTACAATGAAGTACACTTCTAGAGAGCTGTTTGTTGCATCCAAGGGCTTGCGGACAGACGCACAAAAACACTCATGGCATTGACATCTTTGCGCACGCATCCATATTCCCTTGAATGCATGAGCAAAGCTGAGATTTGGAATCAATTTTTTCTTATTAAATCGGAGCCACAAGCCACTCGCACTGCAGCCCTGTATGTGGGCCTCGCAGGTTGCATCATATGCCTCTCACAATTGTCTCACAATTGCCAAACCTGACTGCTCAGAGACAGATGTTTATTTATTTAGCTAAAACAGCTAATCTACACTCTTGCGACTTACCACTGGAGTACCAGCCATTTCCTTCCACACAGCCCTGAAGGTATCTTACCGACCAAGGCTTCCTTCATTGCAGCTCCCCAGTTCATTGGCAAACCTGCTGGATTGCCATGGATCGCCTTTCGCCTTGTCTCCCACGACAACGCCAGCACATAGCTAGTAGCCCCAGCCTCCTACCGAATCTCTTATGCAATAAATCTTTCCAAGCAATAAATTCTTCTGTGCAATAAAATCTCCCGTGCAACAAATTCTCTTGCCCCAACCCTCCCCACCGCTTCCAAACCACCGGACGGCGGCTCACGCCAGCAAGCGCGCAAAGAATATGATGTGGAGAAGTGCGGCGTACGCCAGCAGGCCAATGCGCAACAGAGGCCTCCCAGTCAGCGCTTTTCCAGCCGTTACGGTCCACCGGTCCAGCTGGGAGACGGCATGGGTGATCCGTGGGTGTGTTGAGGCGGAACGAACGAACGCCAGGCTCGTCAAAGGTCTGAACTCGGATTCCCGCTCGCCGTCAGAGCCGTGGTCTTCCTCATCCGGCATGTTGGACTCCAAATCGACAATCTCTCGCCTCTTGACCTGCAACACCAGCATGCCCACCCAATCACGCCCCCGTCCTCCAAAGCACACCAGGCATTTGGGGCCCAGGAAACCGCAACTCGCGGCATGATGTGCCAAAAGTTTTGAGTACCACCGCACCTCGGAAGTTGTGTGGTTTTGCATTGGTTTGCCCCAGTCAATACCAATCTTGCATGAGGTGTGCGGTTCGGCGACGCTGACACACGACGGCACCCCACTGGTGGAGCGCGACAACGCATTGCAGAGATGTTCGCGGGCGTGGTGTGAATCTGCACTGCTGACATTGTTCAAAAATTGCTGCCCTTGCACGTACTCTGCAATATCATCATCAAAATCCATGGATTACATTTGTCACAAAATGACAAAACACAGCCCGTGCACCTGGTAGGCGATGATGGGCGTGGAAACCAAGCAGATAGTGTGTTCGGAATCGATTATTCATGGTCCCATATCGCCAACCCCTATTGTCCCATGAAATGCAGTGAGCTGGCATGAGTAATGAAATCCCCTGTCTGCAATATGGGTTGTCTTGCTGTGCGACAGCGCCGTGGCAACCACTGGCAGTTGCCCAACGTCCTGCTCTAAACAGGACACCTGCTCTTATGTTCCTGTCTTTTCGCAAATCCTTCGAGCTTGGACAGGATAGGTGGTGAGAGACATGCAAATGAGCGAGTCTGCGAGCAACGGTGTGTATGTCAGCCATACCCTCGAACTCCACGATGATGCAAGGGCAGGGGTGTTTGTCGATGGAGCACACCAAAAGGAGAATTTAACTGACAGCTCTGCACCCATCCCTCATGACGGACACATATTTCCCAAAACGACATCAATGTGCATCAGTCCAACAATGTGGACTACGACACTAGGACTGCACGATCAGGCAAAGTGCTCCTTAACTTCGATGTGGTTTGGCAACGCTTTTGTCAATTTGGACAATTGCAGAATATGGCTAGAGGAGCCCAGGCGAAATCCGTTGGAACAAGGTGAGCGGAGCGTGGGCAATCCAACATGATGAAATTAGATAGGGTACTGCAGTCAGTGCCCCTACTCCGCCCCACAAGCTGCCCTGTACCCAGGGAGCGACCTCTCACCTGTGTCAATGAGCCCTGCGGGTGATCATGCGATGGCATGATGTCCACAGTGACCTGAGATGTGCTGGGCCCACTCTGCCTCGCCTGCTCCAGCTCCCTCGTCAACACATCCCTCTCATGACGCAGGGCATCAGCCTCCTCTTGAAGACGCCGCCTGGTCGACTCTTCATCAATCCTCTGCAAATGCAGCAAACGTGTTATGGCTGCCTCGTGGACAACAAAGTCTTCCAAGCTCGTGTTGCACTTGAACTTTTGCCAGTCATACTCTTGAAGATGCAAGGGCAGTGCTCCGCCACGTCTTGCAAGTGTATCAGACGGAGTGCTGAAATCTGTTCATCACATTTGTCAAGGCAAGGCCGTCAAACAATGCTGTTTGTTATCCATTCGAGCATAATGTCAAGCTCCGCCTGATCGGGTGGGCTGTGTATCTGCCAAACCGTGTCTTGCTATGGCAAAGTCCAAGGCCAAGCAGCCAGCAAGAGATGATGTGGCCCTGTATGCAGATTGCCAAAAGAGATACCACTGCGCACATTGGAAGCAGTCGTGGCCTGAGAGCGCCTCATTTGATCCAGCTCAGCGTTTCGCTGCGCCAGCTCATGGTCCAGAGTAGCTATCCGAGTGGCGGTAGCATCCTCAGCGGCCTGGTGCTGTGCAAGCCTGGCAGATATGTCGCCTGCAAAAAGAAAGCAGGTACATGTTCATCTTGCACACAAACCAGCCCACAGTGCCTGACGCTGCAGAGAAAGACATGACATACCTGAGCTCCAATTCTCGTCCATTTCACGGCATTTCAATAGAGATCACCCGCTGTGTATATTCATGGAACGGCAACGAGCTAGTTGGTGTTGTCAGCTGCTGCATGCACCTGTGTCCTAATCTTGACGGCTATTTGCACTGGCTACATTGGCTCCTGCCACTAATTCGACAGAGCAGAGCACACAACAGTAGCGTTTCGCGGTAGGTTCAGGAGCAGAACGGTGTCCATACTCGCATATTCTGCATAAGCCCACCATGTTCTGAGAGTTGTTACAGACTCTGGGTATTGTAACGTATGATGCTCTTGCGTGCAATTCCACGGGAACCAGATATCCACTCCAGAATGAACTGAACACCTGCCTGGTGGCCGACTTAACCAGAACATCTTGTCACAATGGCAAAAGTTTGAAGCAAGTGTTCCCAGGTGGTTGATGTCTCCCTGGATGGTAGTGTCCCAATGGTGCCCACAAACAATACCAGTTAACACATGCTGAGCATCAGTCCATGCAGGAACTGCAACTGCTGTACAGCAGCGGCGCCTCACAAGAAATGACTTACCAAGCTCCCGCTCAGCATCTTGCAGTCTCTGTCCAACAATCTCAGCATTTTGCTCTGCTTCCTCAGCACGACGCTTCCATTCTTCAAGGACAGTGGCTGAGGCAGGCGAGTCCTGTTCCTCAGACATTCTTGCTTCTGACAGGGCCTCCCGCAGTTGGTCGTTTTCTGCTAGCAGATACTCAACTCTGCTGCTGAATTCCTCTACCTCGCCCTTGGCAGCCTGCCGCTCCTTCCTCAACTTCTCAATGGCATCCCGTGCCATGGACACTTTGTTCTTGTGGGTCGCAACCTCCTCCCTCATGGCTGCCATCTCTATCTCATTGCGCCGCAGCATTGCCTCCCCTTGCTCTGCTTGGGCAGCGAGAGCATCCATTTTGCGAGACAGATCCCCGGCAGCTGCAGCCTCGCTTTCTAGCTTCTGCACATCTTTTTCTGCCTGCGATGCCCGTAATTTGGCCCTTTCCAGTTCACATTCCAACATCTGAACACGGTCACCAGCATCTCTGGTGGCTGCAGACCGATCCTCTGTGACCCTCTGTAGCTCCTTCGTCTCACCCTCAAGCTTCTCAACCTCAGCCTCTGCCCGAAGTGCTCTCTCCTTCAGAGATGTGCTCACCTCGAGTTCCTTCACCTGTTGCTCCTCCAGGGCAGAGACAACCTGCTGCAACTGTGCAAGCTGTTGTTGCAGCAAGCAAACAGAATCAGTACTGCACGAAACCACCAACACAGCATTGCTGCCTCAAGAATCCAAATGCTTTGAGAACTTGCCCAGCAACACTTCCTAACATGTGCATCTGACCACACAAACACACCAAACAGCTTGCAGCTTGCACTGAGCAGCAGAAGCATTCTGATTTGCTGACACCCCTACTGCACCCTTCTGGTACATGAAGTCGACTTGATTCCATACCTGTGCCTCTGCCTCCTTCTTGCCAACTTCAATGCGTTTGCCCTTCTTAATGGCAGCTGTCAACTTGTCCTTGAGGTCGCCCACCCTCTTGCCCAGCTCCGCGATTTCTGTAGCTTTCGATGCTAGACTTGAAGCAGTTCCCTCATGGACCCTCTGGTGATCAGAGACTGTCTCAGATAACTGGCACTGCATCTCATACAACAGCCCATCCTTTTCTTGGCACATCTTGTCTCTTGCAGCTATTTCGGCATTCATGCGTGCACGCTCCTCTTTGAGGTCGCTGAGCGCCTGTTGAAGCTGCAGAACTGACTTGCGTCCATCATTAACTTCTGTTTCCAGTTCTTGCACAGCCTGCCGCAGATGCTGGTTCTCCTGCTCGATGTCAGCACTGGGAATGCGAAGATGTAAATCGGCAACTTCTGCTTCCAGGCCATCGACCTTGGCCTCCACATCTTCCTTCTCTCGGATTGCTAATTGCAGCTGCTCTTGTAGACACTGGACTTTTGAGCTGTTGTCTTCACGAATCTGTTCCTCTTTCTGGGGAGAAACACCCAACAAACATGACACAGATCACCACCAATGCCGCACCACAAAAATTCCTACTCTACTTTGATATGGTGTGTGCCCTGCCATTGAGCCCACTAGCCAGCACCTGTTCGCTTGATCTGCAGCATGTTAATTTGTGGAAGATCAAAATTACCCAAGCAGACCTCAACGAGTCAACAGGGAGTCACTGCACCCCAGTTTGTCCTGGGACGTTTGCATACATGTGTACAAGGGGCTATGCATTGAACCCAATTACCTGAATCTGCTGGATTAGCCACCAGGAGTGTCGCGCACAACACGCAAATGGTCAGCAAATGTAGAGAACGTAGTCCTTGTTGACTGTCAAAGCAGTATACATATTGCAAATTCTTTCTCTCCTTTCTGACATTTTCTCTCCGATGATTAGGACTCCCCCGCATGGGTACTGAATAGGGATGGTACCCGGGCTGGCAAGACCGGACCCGGGTACCCGGTGTTTCGAGAACTTGGGTACCCGGGTGTACCCGGGTAACCCGGGTACACCCAATACCCGGGTACCCGCGAAAAACTGGGTACCCGGGTACAACCAGTACCCGGGTCCGGGTATGTACCCGGGTACGGAAAGGCGCTCCCTGCGCCGACGCAGCGCTGGCTGGCCGCGCTCCGCCGCGCTTGGCCGGCTGTTGTCTAATGGAGTCCGCGACGACGACGGCGCCCCCTCCCCTGACGTTGTCTTCCACGAGCCGTTTTTCTGGCACAATCCGGAAAGGGCTGGACGCCTTTTGGTCAACGATCGCGTTGGCGAACCAGAAAGAACAACCACCACAATAACGACAATGAAACTATGCAGCTGTAAGACATCAACGACAACAACGCCCAAAAGCAATCACCGATCCATCTAGTCCAAGTTGCTGGGCATGTCCTGCGCGCACCAACCGTTTCGCATTGAAACGGACGACCTGCAATCCCCAACTAGGGTAGCTCGGGCGCCAGGGATGCAACACAGCCGGTATCCTAGGGACCAACCCGTCGGAGCCCAGCCGCATTTTCTGCAGACAGCTAGTTGCCGCAGGTGTGTAGAGATGTTCCAACCCGTCAGATACCCCGAATCCGGATCGCCGGCGCCACAGGATCGACGAAGCAGCGCCATGTCGATGTTCCAACCCGTCAGATCCCCCGATTCTGGTTCGCCGGCGCCCCTAGATCTCCAAACGCGCGGCCCAAAGAAGAGTGTGTGGAGAGCATCGGCGCCGTGCACGATCGCGACGCAGCCACACAGTGTGGACGGGGGCGACCTTCGGAAGCCAGCGCGGTGCGAAGCTATGCACCGGGCGACCGCTGGTCAAAAGTGCTGTCCCCGGGTCCGTCCCCGGACCCGGGTACTGGCAGTACCCGGGTAATCCGGGTACCCGCCGGTACCCGCCTGTACCCGGGTACGTACCCGTACCCGCCTACCCGGGTACAAGGGTTGGCGGGTACCCGGGCAGGCGGGTACTGGAAAAAACAATACCCGCCCCGGGCACCCGGGTTTCCTGTACCCGGGTACCATCCCTAGTACTGAATGCTCACCGAGCACTGATACTTTCTTTCTATCTCACTGTTTAGGACCCAACATCGGCTCCTGCTGGCAAAGGATCCCATTGTGCTTTACGATTTGCAGGGAAGCTCCTCGCTTAGATCAGCATGTAATACGTTGGAATTCAAAAAAAAAGAAAAAAAAGAAAACAAGTGCACTCCACAACAATAGCTACCAAAGCCACAAGATACAACCTCGTCATTGCCCCATGACTGGTCAACCATGCTCTTCATCACTGTGCCCCATGTCAAGTTCACAACAGGGTATCAACCCAACCCAAATTGCGTTCAAGCCCTAAGGGATCCACAGGGGACATGGTCATACCTGGAATTGCATGATCTGTTTGTCCATAGACAAGATCTGTGCTGAATCTTCTAGCACCTGTGCAGCATATGCCGCAATAGCCTTATTCTTGGCTTCCACCTCCTGGGTCAACTTGTTGCTCTGCAAGCCAAATCCAGCTGTCAGACATACATGCGGCTCATTCCAGCACTGCCATCCCTGCTGAGGCGAAATGCAAGCTAGCTGTGTGGAGGCATGCAAGAGGAATGCACACTGGGAATTGACTGTTGTTCATGACAGTACATCTGAGAACAGAATGTCACGTCACTGGCACATACAAAGATGACTCATAATCACCTTGTCCAGCATCAAAGCCATTCGGGAATGGTAACATGGGTAAGACAGCAAATACAGTGCAGTGGCAGCCTCACAAAGTATGGTACCCTTGCTTTGTGACATGTTTTGGAGCAGGATTCGTGCTTTCCAGTGCACTGTGAACAACCTCAGCAACTGGACAGCTGTGGCCAGTGACTGGCTGTTTTGCTGTTCGGAAAGCAAAGCGAATTTGAAAATTACGAGGTCGTTGATAAGTTCCCATTTCTGGCCCCCACCAGACGATCTCTATTCTGATCCCACAATTCATCGACTGTGCACAGATACTTGTCCAGATATCTTGTTCCAGACATACTGGAAATCAAGCGGCTGTATGCGAATGTGCTGGACTTGCACTGCAGTATCAGCCCACTGTGACTGAATGTGACACACTTGTTGGATGGCACAGATTCGCCCAAAGCTAAACTAGAAAAAGGGTGAATCAGCCACCCACAAACACTGATATATAGTGTCATAAAACGAACATTGACAAGATCTGCTGAGCATCATTGTGAGAAATGCGACGTGTTGGCGATAAATGCGAACGGAATCTTGCGGCTCTGGTGAGGCTGCATCTAAAGCGATGCTAAATGCTACTAACAATGTGACAATCTGGCTTGAGGATGCACAGCAACACCGCTGGTGCAACACCTCTGGCGCAACACCTCACGATCACTGCTGGTAGTCAGCACACAAAGGGGACATCGGTGAGCAACGGGAAACAAGCAAATCAATGGTAAAAGAAGTTGCAGACCGAGATATGTCCATCCTGTAGGACCTCCGCTGTTGTTTCTATCCACTGCAAGGAAGGAGAGAAATCCAATGGCAACATGCACTAACCAGGTCCTGGGCGCTCCTCAGCTGCACAGCAAGAGACTGAACCTCCAATGCCGACTGTGACAGTGCTGCTGTTTGCTGAGCAGCAGTGTCAGCATTCTTTTGGACCATTTCCTCCAAATGCGTGATGTACACTTGTGAAACCTGGAGACTTGCCACCGCTGACTTCAACAAGTCCTGAGAAGCACAAAAGAAAGTAAGACAAACCCCTGCAGCTTGGCTTATTAGTGTTTTTGCTCCAGCTAGCTGGGCTGCAGTGTCACACAGGACCTGCTATTACCTTCCCACAACAGTTCCACATCAAACGCACAGTCAGCAACAATTAACAGTAACAAACCCTGCAGCTTCTTGTCACCCATCAGACAATCCAATGCTGGATCACTGACACAGAACAACCAATGACAGACAGCTGACAGGATTGTCCAGCCTTGTGAGAAAATTATGCAGAGGCTGCCATATGACCAACAACAAGTTGTCGACACAGTCATGCAGTCCTCACATGTTGTTGCACCGCCTGGCTTGCAAGCTGTTCAACATTCTGCTGGATGCCACACAAGTCCATTCTTGTGCCTTCCAGGACGCCCTCCTCTAACTTCAATCTAGCCCTGACGTCAGTGTTTTCAGCCTGCAGCACCAACACAATCATCAATGCCATTGTGCCAGTTCAGCTCTAGGTGATTTCTCGCATTCGCGCCCACGAACCAAAGTCGTGTGCAGCAACGAAATGAGCTGCTGCTGATTTGCCTTTCCGCACATTCTCCACACTTCACAGTAGTACAACACTAACAAGATTGCTGCACATCACATGCCATTTCAGTTATCTGAGCTGCAAGAATAGATGCCCTGTGGTGCTAAGTAGGGTATTCAGAAGGCCTAAAAATGCATGGAGCCGATAGCATTGCTCAGCCCATATCTGAACATACCCAAACCATGATGCACCAAACCGCATATAGCCTATGTCTGAAATTGCATGCTCACCTTAAATTTCTGCAGGTCATTGTTCATATCTTCAGAAGACCGCTGCCATTCCGCCAATCGTTGATCCATGCTGTCCCTCTGCAGTGTTAACTGACTATATCAATAAACATCCCAGGCAGTCCACAGCAGCAGGGCAGGGCAGATAGATATGCCCCTTGTTGGGTATCAGCGCAAGTGCCACAATGCATACGGTGCGGAGCTAGGCTCAGGGCACACATTGTGTGGACATCAGGACATATCTGACTGGCCGCTTGCTGCTATGATACTGCCAATGCTGCGTTGAAACCACATTCTGCAAGGCTTCGATGTTCAAGCAGTGTTGGTGCATATTCAGTATTGAAGCGCACACTGAGGCAAAAGCATACTGCAGCTTGACAAAACTGATGGTTGAAACATCCATCAGCAACTGGCTGCATTCAATTCCATCACCATAGGACAATTAGGGGACAATTTCACACCATCCCAGCAAGCCAACATCAGTTGCTTGCAGATATCCAGTTTGCCAGGAACAGAACCTGGTGTTTGCCAGAAAAAGACTTCTCTATCCAATGTTTGACAAAATAGAATGTGCTGACTAATTGAATCAAGACTATCACCTCGGCACTGCCTAAGTATACAATTCCTGAACTTAGACATTGATGTAATGCGAGCATATGGCAGCAACACCGTGCTTATGAAGAGATTTGTGAACGTGCGATCAGCCACAACAAACGAGACTGCTACAAACACAATGCTAGGGGTTGTGCTGACATGCTCGCAACCAAATCCCGCATCTGTAGATATTTTGGTGCTTCAGCAGACCCGTCCCCCATTGCATGCATTGTGGAACGTTCATGTATCTACACTTACAGGCAAAGCATGTATATACACTCAAGTTTGACAATGAATCCACCTGATAGTCAAAGGGGAAAGCAACATACTGATCATGGCAAATGTCTCTGTGCAACTTAGATGATGTAACAGCACTACCAAGCATCCACAGTATGGAGATGATCGACACAATCCATCAATGTCAACTAATGCCAAAAAATGAAAAATCTTGATCATGTAGAGTCTGCTGTGTTGTGTTGGCACGGCTATACACAACCGGAACTGTGGCTATGATAGCTCCTTTGGCTGCCATCAATCACTATCAGGCATCACACATCTGCTACACAATAATCCAAGCAACCGCCACTGTAGTGAGAAGAAAGAAGCTCCCAAATACCTCTTCTGCTGCACTTCTCAATTGCTCTTCAAGCTCCTTGACACGAATTTCATTGGTGCTCTCCTCAGCACCCTTTGTGATGTCTGCATCCTCTCCACGCACAAGTTCCGCTCTTAATTCATTCATTTCTTCCTGCAGAGAATGTGCAAGGGGGGAGTTGGCCACCTAAAACTTACTATACCAAGCCAAGCAATGCAAGATGCTCCTTGTCTCACTGTATTGCCTGATGTGAGACTCAAACAAG